GATAATTCAATATACTTTATTCGTGACAAAACATCCCATGTTTTGGTTGTGACTGCACATTTTCGGTAATGACAGTAATGTTGTGGTAGCAACCACATGACATTACAGGACTTTAACTCGCATACTAAAATACAAAAAATGTGCATAACTGCTCGAATTGTGTTTATTTCCCCCAAATAAATAATTATGTGTTCCCTTTTGTCACTACTGAAACAATGATGACATGTGATTGATACGGTAGTGACAAGTTTAGATACTTTTGGGCCCAACTCAAAGATACTAATCAGCACATGCTACCTAGCACAGTTCTGAACAGTTGTACACATATAAAAACGAAATGTTATGGAATAACTCCCAAAAAAGTGTGCTTATTTGCAGAAAAAATATGTTTCTTAGTGACATTCCTTAAAATTACACACAGATTTTCAGACTTTTGAACACATTTATCTCAAACTGATCTACTCACCATGTAGCTATGAGAGAGAGGGACACAGGAATATTTCCTGATCATAAATGTAGGGGTGTAGTTAAATTCAGTCTCAGCCAATGGACTAAAACCATAGACAGACTTTATTAGACATTAAAGACATAACATGCAACATTTACAACTTTAACAAGACATCCAAAAAGATAACACAATTAAAGGAATGGGTTTACATTACATAGAGAAAAAAAAAGAAATAATAATACTTAAAGAAAAAAAAGACAGCATATACCCATTCAATTTTCAAGTAACTTCAACTCTTTAGCGAGTAAAATTGTATCTCTACATTTTTTGTTATCAATACATTGGAGAGACTCAAAATACAAATCAGTCATAAAGACCTTCAAACTGAGTTTAGAACTATTTCTTTTACTTTTATGAATATGAAATTTACCAAATAAAATAATTAGATTCATCACAAAATTGACAGATTCATTTTTTGATTCAAAATATAAGATAACATCTTTGGATGTTAATTCACAATTATAACCAGATTTCTGTTGAATATATATATAGATAAATCTTCCCAGAATTTTTGGGAATGGTAACATTAAAAAAAAAAAAAAAGTAGAATTTTTTCTGGCTGATTTGAAAAAAATTAAAATTTTTCATCAATATCCATACATTTTGATAAAGTATAGTTACTAACATAAATATTATGAAGTACTTTCAGATGTATTTACCGAAGTTTGTTAGATATACAAAACCGAAATTGAAGAAGCCAAGCTTTTTTCCAAATAATCTCTTGAAAACAAATGTTCCAGAAAAATTCCCTCTAGGCTTAATAGATCTCTTTTCATAAAATAGACTTCTAATAAATGTATTTGTGCATTTTTTACTGTTAATGTCCACCCCATTTAAATTAAGAATGGGTTCAATTCTACAAATGTTAAGGGACAACATATGACTTCTCATTAACATCAATAAACCTGTGGAAATGGCGTTTATCACAGATTAATATTCTCTATATTTAATGGGAAATGCCCATTTATTCATAAAATTTTCATAAGAAAGCAACTCAGCTGACTGATCAAAAAGGTCAGATAAAAAATTAATTCCTTTATCCATCCAACTCTGTAAATAAAGAGATTTCCGGTTAACTGTAATATAAACATTATTCCACAAGATTGCTTTATGTGGAGAAAAGTTATGCACATAACATAACTTCCAGGCCTTGAGAGCTTGTTGATAAAAATTAGATAATGCCACAGGCAGTTTGCTAGTCGAGTAATCACACATTAACAAAAAGTCTCTCCACTATAGCTTTTGTAACACTTATTCCTAAATACTTAATCTTATTTTTTACTGGGATGTTACATAAACAGTTTTCATTTGATTCATAAAGGCACATTATTTCACATTTCGTTACATTAAACATTAAGCCAGAAGCAACAGAAAAGCTTTATCTTTCAAGAAAAGAACAGTATCATCCGCAAGCTGAGTGTCACGAATTCGGTCTATGGACTTCCGTTTATTCACCACCAGAGGTCACCCTTTCCATTACATTGACTCTCTCGCACAACACAAACTGTTGCATAGCACCCCGGACTACATTTCCCATCATTCATTGCACGGTTTGCACACTGCACTGATTGCACTCATTGCACACAGCTGTTTCTTATCACCTCACTCACTATATAACACCCACTCAAACTGCCATTCTCTGCTGAGTATTGTTTAGCCCGTACCCCTTTCCGAGTCTCTGTGTTTTCCTTGTTTTGCCTTACCTGTTTTCGTGGTTTCTGATCTTTGCCTGTTTTCCTGGATTTTTCCCTCTCGTCTCGCCCCTGTGATTCTGTCTGCTGATCGGTGACCTACGCTAGCCCTGGGACTATTCTTGTGTTTTGCCCGCCATATACATGTTTGCCATTGTTTGACCCTGCCCGTTTACCACGTCTCTTTAATAAAGCCTGCAGATGGATCCACACGTCTCATCAGCCCCGTCACACTGAGTCAATCTAATTTGTTTATTGAAGATGGTAATTCCTTGAATAATTGGAGAATTCAAAACTTTTATGGAAAGAAACTCTACTACAATAAGGAATAAAAAAGGGGATATAGGACAACCTTGACGCACACCTATACAAATGGGAAATCTTTTAGAAGTGTTTGGATATAAATTAATAGAACTATAAATACCTCTATGAAACGTTTCAATTATAGAAGCAAATCTTTCCCCAAAACCAAAAGATTTTAATGCCCTATACATAAACTGATGCTCAATTGTGTCAAAAGCTTTATGGAAAGCTAGAAAAGCACTTAAAGCCTCTGATTCCACCAAATTTGAATAGTCTAACAAATCCAAAATCAGTCTAATATTCCAACTTGTATGTCGGCCAGCCATAAATCCAGTTTGACACTCATTTATGATTTCGTCTAGACCTTTTTTTAAAGAACTGCATAAACATGAGATAATTTATAATCTACGTTTAATAATGTTATAGGATGGCAGTTATCCCAAATCAAATGATCTTTATCTGGTTTAGGAAGTAGGGTTATTAACCCATGTTTCATAGAAGTCGATAATTCATTTGATTCAATACATTCCTTATACATTTCAAATAAAGGGTTTTCAATAATATCCCAAAAGCAGAGATACAATTCAACTGAAAGACCATCTGTGCCTGGCGATTTTTTTTTTATTGAAAGAATAACTGTAACCATCTCTTGCTTCCTTAGTTTTTTATCACAAAGGTCTCGAAACTGAATAGAAATAGATGAGGCCGATTGCTTAACTGACTCAAAGAAGTCAGAACATTTATCCATTTCAAATACAGATTCATATAACTGAGAGTAAAAATATTCCACATATTTTGAAATCAATTTTGGATTCGAAGTGAGTACATCATCAATTTTAAGAGAGGAGATCATTTGTCTTTTATAATTTCGCTTTTCAAGTGAAAAAAAAAATTGCTTGTGTTCTTTTCCCCCTTTTCCAACCACTTAGCTCTAGAACAAATGAATGCCCCCTTTGCAGTATTAATATATATCTGATCAATTTGAATTTTTAATGTCTCCAATCTGACTTTTTCATCTTCTATAAGATTATCTTTTTTCAAAAGTAAGTCTAATTCTGTCATAAGTGCCTTTTCCTTATTCAAGTGATTATTTTTAACTTGTTTACTAAAATGTACAGCAGACTGCCTAACTTTAAATTGAAATATTTTCTTAACATGTGTCATTTGCTTATTCCCAAAAATCTGTTGTGCTTCTTCTCGGACCTGGGTAATAAAGCCCTCATTACTAAGCAACTTGTTATTTAATTTCCAGTAGCCTCGCATACTATTATTTTTAATATCACAACCAGAGAGTATCAAAACAATAATTTTATGATCCGAAAAAGGTGCATAGCAAACCATAGACTGTATAAAACAAACACTTTGACTTTCAGTGTCAGTTTCGGTAGTGACATGAAAATATGGCACACATGTTTTTACATAAAGTTTGATAATTTACAAAATAAATCTTTGTTTTGAACTTCACTTTTAAAATAAAAAAAATAAAAATAAAAAAGATTTTCATAAGTTGAAATGTAGGGGTTAGGGTTCGGGACAGCCACCTCAAAATTGAAAGTAGCCTACCAAATAAATAATGATTTTATATATTTTAAGCTTACTGATATTTTAAATATTATTGTGGGTTTCAATAGATAATAGAAGGATCTTAGTAAACATCTAAGATGTGAGTAATTAAATCCTTTTTAAATGTTTTTTTTTGGGTTGCGGGACAGCAGTTTGCACCAATTCTGTAGAATGGCATATAGTTTACATTAATTAAACATAATAAAACATGTCTTCAAAAAACCCCCACCATATGTTAATACATATTTTTATATAAAAAGTGTACAAAGAAGTACAGTTTACCGAAAAGTCCCTCGCCATGTTAACCAATCAGACTGCCCTTTTTCAGCGGTCACGTGATCATTCAACATGGCTCCTTACATGAATGCTTGTGAAGAAATAAAATGATTCATCGTTTAATACACTATTTTGCTCCCTGACGCATGTGAAACAAGCTAAGCCCATTGAATATCTAATAAAAATATTTTTAAATCGAAAAACACCACCACTAAACACTTTAGTATGCTTTCTCTGTAATGATTAATAGCACGCAACAATAAGGGCAATGATACGTTATTAAACATAGTCTCCACTGTATTCGTCATTGCTGACCTGTGATGTCAGTGTACTTATGTTATAAGTTATAATTTATCGCCATTGAATGTGCTCTAACGCCTCAGTCACAGATTCCTACGCAGTGTTGGGGAAAGTTACTTTACAGGGTGAAAAAAGTAATCTGATTACGTAACTCGCATTACTTGTAATGAGTTACCCCCAACACTGTTCCTATGTGCAAAAAAAATTTTTGTAAACAATATGGCAGTGGACATAATGTATTATATAATAATATATGAAGAGTATGGTGCGGTATATATCACTCACCATAGCCTTGCATTGCAGTAATAATGTGGAATGCAAGCCTCCTCATTCACATGTCTGTCTGTCTGTGAAAACAGATGAAGCTTCGAGTCCAGCTGCAGTGCAAGAACTTGCACGAGTATCTAAAGGAACTGAGTCCGGAGATCCTCGACAGGCTCTACAATCACCCAGCAACATGCCTGGCAGTCTACAGGTCCATCTGGCTTTACGGTTTAAATATACATACTACACATTTACATGTATGCATGGCATTTGATTAGATAATGAAACATAAAAGCAAATGGCATTTGTTTAAAAGAAAGAGAGAGGAATGCACAACATACTTTTCAAGGCAACAAAATCTTTACATAAAAGTCTCTAATAGTTCTAACATACACTACCAGGTAAAAGTCTTTAAACAGTGAGATTTGTAATGTTTTTAAATAATTTTCTTCTGCTCAACAAGGCTGCATTTATTTGATCCGAAATACAACAAAAGCAGTAATATTGTGAAATATTTTTACTATTTAAAATATCTGTTTTCTATGTGAATATATTTTAAAATGTAATTTATTCCTGTGATGGTAAATCTGAATTTCCAGCATCATTACTCCAGTCTTCAGTGTCACGTGATCCTTCAGAAATCATTCTAATATGCTGATTTGCTGCTCAAGAAACATGTAATTATTATTATTATTTTTTTTATTATTATAGAAATTATAGAAATTAATACTTTTGTTTAGCAAGGATGCTTTAAATTGATCAAAAGTGATGATCAAAACATTTATAATGTTACAAAAGATTTCTATTTCAGGTAAATGCTGTTCTTCTGAACTTTCTATTCATCAAAGAAACCTGAAAAATTCTACTCCGCTGTTTTCAACATAATAATAATAATAATAAATGTTTTTTAATAATAAATGATTTCTGAAGGATCATGTGACACTGAAGACTGGAGTAATGATGCTGAAAATTCAGTTTTGACATCACAGGAATAAATTACATTTGAAAATATATTCACATAGACAGCAGTTATTTTAAATAGTAAAAATATTTCACAACATTACTGCTTTTGCTGTATTTTGGATCAAATAAATGTGGGCTTGGTGAGCAGAAGAGACTTCTTTGAAAAACTTAAAAAATCGTACTGTTCAAAAACGTTTGACTGGTAGTGTGTATCATATTTTTTTCAGATGCCACTTGGTTTGTTTTGTATCTAATAATATTTTATAATTTTTACATGTGGCTTAATAGTCCAAATACATTTCTGGGCCTATTATAATAATAAATCTGAGGTGACTCCGAGATTAATGCTGATTTGGCTCGCTCTCATTCATTTTCAAACAGGGCACTTCCATCATTGGCAAATAATTATGTGATGCATTTGCTGTTTTTAGACCATCCACTCCCACAAGCTGCAGTCGCGCTGTGGGTTAAAAAAGACAGTCAGAAGTAAGTGCAATAGTTAGTTCTGTCATTCTAATACAAATCCGCATGTTAGAATGATTTCTGAAGGATCATGTGACACTGGAGTGATGGCTGCTAAAATAAAGCATTTTCCACCACAGTAATAAATTACATCTCACAATATATTAAAACAGAAAGTCGTTATTTTAAATCGTATTATTATTTACAGTAATGCTGTTTTCACTGTTTTTAATCAAAAAATGAATGCAGCCCTGATGAGACTTTTGACCAGTAGTGTTATGTATTTATTCTTATTTATGTGTTTCTTTGCTTTTCTTAGAGACCATGATCAGTGTGTGTCGGTGTTAACCGGGCTACGGCTCTGGCACAGTCAGCACCTTCAAGGTGGACTCCAAGGCTTTGTGCTGAACCCTGTGTTTAAAGACAACCTGAGAATAGCACTTCTAGGCGGGTGAGGGACACAGTTTAGATTGAGAACCGTCATAGTGTTGTGGCAGCAGATTTACTGGACTAATGTTCACTTTGTCAGTGGTAAACCGTGGGCAGATGAGGGCAGCAACCTGAGTCCTGATCGTCATGGGAGGGATGTAGAGAGTCTCGACCGCTATGCTATGGAGCGTTGGGAGGTCATCCTTCACTTCATGGTGGGCTCTCCCAGCGCAGCCGTCAGCCAGGATCTGGCCCAGCTCCTCATACAGGCCGGGCTCATGAAGAGGTAGAGCACGCCATCACTCCACTGATGCACTAACTAAAGTAGGTCAGACATGAAGGGTAGGCAAAAAATTATCTTGAGCTGTTTTTTTTCTTTCTCAGCGAGGCTGGTGAGGCTCCTTGTATCACATCAGCAGGGTGTCAGTTCCTGCTGCTGGACACAGCATCTCAGCTGTGGTACTTCACCCTGCAGTACATCAAAACAGCACAGGTCAGTGCATAACATATAGAGTCTGTACATTATAGGCCAGATTTACTAACCGCTTGTGCCAGCGCAAAACCACTTTTGGCATTAAAAATCTAGTCAGGATGTACTAAAGCCACACAGTAAAAAAAAAAAGCAATGAACTTATTGCAGATGCATTTGTAGCTGTTTCCCTTTAAGACGCAGAAGAATATTTAAATAAATTATGCAAGGTGGTTTACTAAGGTTTTTGCGAACTTCTCATTAATGAGGGAAGGTGGAAACATTTCTGTTTTGAATGTTACCATGTTATTACTGCATTTACGCCTTTTCGATTAATTAAAAATTGAGAAATTATTTGAAATTTAAAATTACACATAAATCACACCAAAAACTATGATGCAAAATAATGTATTTTTTTTCAATATTGATGAGAAATCTTATTTGAATTTATCATTGTATGAAATTTAAAAGAACATATAATCTGAGAATTACCAGGATTAGCCCCACTGGAATTAATAGGATTGAATTAAATTCCAAATGAGTCCATTGACTTTATAACTCATGATTGCTCAAAAACATTCAATGTTTTTTTTTTTTAACCTACATATTTAATTCTAACACAATATCATAACGACATAGATATTATTCTTAAAGGTTTTCAAACAAAATAAATACATTTTACTTGGAGAAGCTTTCACTTTCAGATGAAAAACGTGATAAGTTTTTCATGCTGCAATGGTTTGTCAATAGGTGTACGTTTATCAACAAAATTCACTCCAAAAAGTGTGTGAGATATGGGGAAAAGGCCAAATATATATACTGTATATATATATATATATATATATATATATATATATATATATATATATAT